TCGAGTGGTTTCTGAGCGCACAGGCAGTCGCCAAACTCGGGGCCACTTTAGTGACCCTTTTCCCCAACTTAGGGGACGAGGGCTTAGTTCACGGCATAAACCAAACGGAAGTCCAGTTGGCGATCGTATCGTGCGATTTGATGCCAACCATAGGGCGACTCAGCGCTAGACTACCGACCCTTCGGACAGTGGTATACATCGACCACAAAAACGCTGCTAAAGTGGTGACCGACAGTCATATCAACGGCTTTCCCGACACTATTCGACTCATATCCCTACGAGACGTCGAGACTACCGGCGCTCAGTTGCCGGATACACCATTCAAAACGCCACATCCTGACGACCCGTTTCTCATAATGTATACGTCGGGCACTACCGGTGCCCCAAAAGCCGCGATCGCGACGCACCGGCAGATGATGGAGGGGTCAGCTCGGGCTCTACTATCTGTCTGCTCGTGGATGGGCGGCGCCCGAAGTCACACGTACGTAGCGTTTCTACCATTGGCTCACATACTGGAGCTGACCCAGGAGTTTGTCTACTTCTACATCGGTATCCGAATCGGCTATTCGTCGCCATTCACTCTCACCGATACGGCTCCGGGATTGGCCAGGGGTCAGGTCAGCGACATTAAACTTCTACAGCCTACTATCATGACTACCGTTCCTCTGGTGTTGGATAAGCTATTGAAAGAGGTGGGCGACAAACTGGAAGCCAGGTCCCAGATTTTGGTCAACCTATTTGGGTATCTAATTGATTATAAAACTAAATGGACTCGACTGGGCTACCGGTGCCCGATTGTCAACCACGTGGTGTGCAGTAAGGTTAGGGAGCAATTGGGCGGTCGACTCAAGATTGTCATCGCAGGCGGCGCTCCACTCAACCCCAACACTCAGTCCCACATTAAGGCACTACTGGACGTCATACTAGCGCAAGGATATGGAGCCACGGAAACTCTGGGTGCAGTATTATGTGAGTACATGGATCATTTTATTTACTAAAAATTTAACAAGTTCCTTGTAAACCGATAAATTTATTTTCATCAAGCTCCACTAGTTTTCATAATGCTATCGCTAAAGTAAACCTTTACCTTGGTACATTTGAAATGAAATGACAGTTTACTAAATTTTGCAAGTTGCTTTAATGGCATATAAATAATTTTTAAAATCGATCAATATATAATTATTACACATGGACGTTTTGTGTATAAATGTTACTGTTTAGATTATGAATGAGTTTAATTAAATAAAATTTATTTATTATAAAAATTAATTAAATTATTGTTTTTATATTAATATAAGCGGTTTGACTCTCACTGTATGTTCAATGCAGTCAAATATATTATAGGATTTATACATAATATTATATTTTAGTATTTATTTAATTTTATAATATAATTTAATCTACTAGCTTATAATTTAGCTGTTTTCATGTAACTGTAAATCATATATAATTAATACTAACTTTAGGTATGGACTCCGGGGACCTATCGTACGGACGAGTAGGCGGACCCCTATCAGGGGTTAAACTCAGGCTAACCGACTGGAATGAGGGCGGGTATCACCCGTCGGACACACCCCACCCCAGGGGGGAGATAGTAATCGGCGGTCAATCAGTCGTCACGGGTTACTATGGGTCGCCCGACGAGACCCGGGTGGCGTTTCGAGTGGACTCCCGGGGCGTGCGGTGGTTCCACACGGGGGACATCGGGGAACTGTATCCGGACGGCACCGTACGTATCGTCGATCGTAAGAAGGATTTACATAAACTCCAAAACGGAGAGTACGTATCGTTGGGTAAAATAGAGGCGGCGCTCAAGTCGTGCCCACACGTGGATAACGCGTGCGTTTGCTGGCGAGTGAACGCCCCATACCTGACGGCCCTCATCAGCCCTAACCGGAAACGAGTGCTTAAACTCAGTCACGACTTGGGTTTAAATGGGGTCTTAATGGAGGATATTGTAGGCAATGAAACGGTTAATAGACGGGTGTTTGAGGCGGTCGTACAAACGGGGCGGGAGGCCGGGTTGGGCACGAAGGAGATACCGGTGCGCATAGCACTGGTAGCTGATGAGTGGACCCCTGATAACGATCTGTTGACCGCAGCCATGAAACTGAAGCGAAGAAATGTGGAGAAGAGATATCATAAGGAAATCGATGGTCTGTTCACAAAGGATGGCGTCGTTTGTAAAGATAAAAATTGTAATTTTATTAACTAGTATGTCCTAGTTAATTGGGAATATTTATCATTTAATAAGGCTGACCAAATACATATTATTAGGGTGTGCAACTAATAAGTTGTGTATTTTAAAAATAGATTATGATTTGTAACTTTGACTATAAAATACAACTTTGAAACTTTGTGTGACAAATAAAAATTAAATATAATATTACTTATTATTAGGGCCAATGAATTGGGGGTCAAAAAATATTTATTTTATCGAACATAAAGTATAGGGTGTCATAAGATTTGTTTTATAGTGATTTGTACGCGAGAATCAGTATATAAACTAAAAACAAAACAGGTTTTGAGTCAAAAATTAATACTGACCAAAGCTAGGGATCATAGGTTAAACATTGATTAAAATATAACATAAACATTTCTCTGTACTGAACACCCTTTACTTTCGTATAAAACTTGTTTAATGCAGTAGTTTTATACATCTACACCCGCAATACTAACCAAAACCAAAACTAACTTTTGCTTATCGGCAGCACTGGCAGTCTGAATGCCATGAGCATCGACATATCGGCAATCCTAGACTTTATGGCCAAGCATAGCTCGTTAACGACGGGGACAATACGTTGAGAGCACTGGCAGGTTATGAACTGATCGGTCAGTACAGTCATAAGCTGTAAACCAGCAGTTCCTGTTGTATATTTATATCCTGATGGAAATGAATATACATTTGATTTGTCGCTACCTATATGAGTGAATTTAATATAATGTCATTTACCTCTAGATAATTTTTTTTGTCTTATTAAAATTTTAACATTATATAAAAATAATTATTTTTAAAAATATTTAAAAATATAAATAAATATAAGTTGATAATGACTATATTTGAACAAGGTTCATGTTTATTAAGGTATTTTAACACAAATAATATATTTTTATGACATTTACTGTACAATGCTTAATAATGAGCATATTTATTTGTAATATGTATGTTAACTAATTTATTTTATTATTTTATAATTTGAATTTAACTAGTAAAAATAGCATACATAATCTTGATGAAAATGACTGTAATATTGGAGCTTTAAAGTATTATTTACACGACTACTGGGCTCATGAATCCGATCCACGTACCCGACACTATTGATGGGCCCGTGGAGGGCCTCTACCGGTGCTGACATTCATGACACTGTGGCTTCTGTTTGTGACCAAAATGGGACCCAAACTGATGGTAAACCGAAAGCCCTTTAGCTTACGATGGCTTTTGTTTGCCTACAATATACTGATGGCCGGCACTAACGCCTACTTTTTTGTAATGTGCCTCAAATTGATAGATTTTAATCAACTCGTAACAGATTTCCAGTTCCCGTCCCGCGAGGATAACAGCCCTCAAACCCAGAGATACATCGACGTGGGAATGGTCTACGGGTTCACCAAATTCATAGACTTATTGGACACCGTATTCCTGGTGTTACGCAAAAAGGAGTCTCACCTGACATTCCTGCACCTCTACCACCACTTCATGGTACCCATACTTGGATGGCTGGCCGCTAAAGTGGCGCCTACCTGTCCACCAGCCGCCATCTTTACCGTACTCAACACACCCGTCCATACAATGATGTACTCGTATTACGCGTTGTCGGCGTTGGGACCGACTGTCCACCGGTTCTTGTGGTGGAAACGGTATATAACTGTCGCACAGATCCTACAGTTTGTCCTATTCTTGTCGTACGCCATAATCAGTGCTTTTCTGAGTACAGGCTATCCATCGGTTATCTATTGGTTCGTTTGGATTCAAATTCCGCTGTTTTTATATATGTTTGTAAACTTTTACCGCAAATCCTACGTTAAGTCTAATGATATAAATATAAAAAAAAGTTTTATAAATATTGTCTCAACTATTTTTTGCACAATGAAAATTTATCGAAATTTTTAAATAAATTACATATTAACAAGTTTAATGCTTATTAAATTATGATTTGCTAATCAGCCAGGTGGCAATAAATAAACAAATAAAATTTTTAATTCTAATTTTATTTATTTTAAAACTAAAGATTTAAAATATTTTTAGCTTTTCTGTTACGGTATAAAAAATGACAACAGCAGTGACCTTGCTATACGATAGTTATATAGTTATTCTAGATAAATTAATTCATTGCCCTACAGTTCACTGTAATGCATATGTATTTTAAAAACATATCCTGACGGAAATAAATCTACATTTGATTTGTCGCTACAGATATTACTAAATTTAATATAATGTCATTAACCACTAGATAACATTTATTTTTTGTCTTATAAAATTTTTAAGCATTGTATAAAAATAAATTAATTTTTAAAAAAAATATACTTTAAAAATATAAATAAGTATAAGTTGATGATGACTATATCTGAACAAGGTTCATGTTTATTAAGGTATGTTAACACAAAGGATATATTTTATGACATTTGCTATACAATGTTTAATATAAAGCTTAATTAATTGTAATTTGTAATAGTTAACTAATTTATTTTATAATTTTAATTTAACTAGCAAAAATATTAAAACAAATTCTGATGAAAATGACTGTAATATTGGAGTTGCAATCAAACAAAATGAGTATCCAGATAAAACTCACAAACTACATATTGTATGGTCTAATGTGATTGTACTTGGTATATTACACGTCTTGGCGATTATAGGATTTTGGAAAACTGTCACTGGTAAATTATTCATTATAAACAATATTATTTCTAATATAATGTAACTAAATATCAACTTATAATTTACAAAATTATATTTATTTAAATTGTGCAGGCACATACACCTTGAAAACAGAAATATATTCATTCTTTCTGATCATAAGCGGAGGAGGGTTTGGGATTCTGGTGGGCGCCCACCGGCTCTGGTCTCACCGCTCGTTCAAAGCCAAATGGCAGCTCCGGGTGCTGTTGGCCGGCCTACAGACCCTGACAATACAGGACGACATCTACCGGTGGTGTCGTAACCATCGTCTACATCACCGGTACTCCGAGACCGACGCCGACCCCCATAACGCCAAACGGGGCTTCTTTTTCGCGCACATGGGTTGGCTCATGTGTCGCAAGCACCCGGAGGTCACCATTAAGGGCAAGGAGATAGACA